ATTAACATTTCTCAAAGCAGGATGATGGGAATAAAAAGCATTGGGGGGTGTGAGATTAAAGTCCACAGTGGGTAAATGTAAATCTCTTCATTGATTTCTAAACCATGTAACTAGGGCCGTTTGTTGAGGTCAAGGAATGTAGATTGAAGAGAAAGTAAAACATGCCTTGATTTATATAGAATTCAATATACCCATAGGATTTATTTTGAAGAAGAAACTGAAGCAACACATGGCCAAAGTTTTACATAGCTTTTGGTAAACTTCACTATCAGTCATTTTCCAATACCTCATTAGCAACTGGGCATGATGCACCCTAATTTTTTAGATGAAAATTACTAGGTTAACTGACAAAACAAACAAACAAACAATAAACACTACTCATGCCTCCATATGGGATAGAGCCCTGGGCTAGTTGCCATGTCAGTCTGATTCAATGCGATATTTTTATGCTTTTATTATGGCATCTATGTTGGAACATCCTGCATGCAAGTTTAGGATTCCTAAATTCTTCTGACAGTACAGAACACAGAAGGATAGTTTTCTGTCTCATTAAGTAAGCAAGAGAGTCCTAGTTCTTGGCTCTGTTTGGTTTACCCATATGGGAGTATGAAACATAAAAAGGTGAAAGAAATCCTAACAGAATGCAGCAGCTGGTTAAAGGCTATTATACTGAAATTTTCATGAGTTTGACAGTAGGCCAAAAAAAAAAAAAAAAAAAAAAAAAAAAAAACTACAAAATGGCAGAGAGTAGAAAAGGCAGTTGTAACTGCTTGAACAATGTTGATGATTATTTTTTCAGTGACAATAAAAGCTGTAATCAAATAACCTGATAGAGGTGCTGGCAGAGACAAGAGAGCCCCAAGGGAGAGGGAATATGAAAACTTTGACAATGATGTATGCTATAGGCTAATAAACTAGACAAACATGTAGTCTCAAGTATCAAAATGGAGGTTCATATGAAAAGCTGGTGTAAGGACATGCATAAGCACTGCCTGATTTCCAATCTACAGCATAACTGTCCATAATGTCTTAACACCTCAAGAATGAATGTCTAACTCAATGATCATGTGGGTCCTGTGCTACTGCTATGCAAACTTCTATTGGTATGTAAACTTCTTGTTATTTGGATAATATGCTGTTGAAATGCAAAGCTTTAAAGTATGACAAAATTTAGTTGAGAATGCAACTTGATTTTGCCAGTGGGAATCAGGGCAAAGCCACTGCAATCTTGAACTCACAGCAGCTGACTTTACTGGCACTGGGTCTGCAGAGGGCTAGCACTGCTGAAATTCTTCTATGGACTGGAGAAGGTCTTCTGGGACCCGCCCCCGCCCCTGCACCTATAGCTGAACAAATTCTGACTACTAACAAATTCTGGGATGGGGGAGTCATTATTTTCAGTTGTATACGAACTGATAAGCCCACTAGGATTCAATAGAAAGTTCCAGAATCGGGGTCAAACAGATGACTGTGATCATGAAACAAAACTCATGAATGTGGAAAGGAAAGTTGTAGGGAAGAAGGAATGTTTGATAAAAGTGGAGAAAAATAAGAGTATTTTACTTATATTAGTGAAATTGTCAAAGAACAAAATTATTTAAGGACAAAAGATTCTGGAAGCCAAACAAGATGGGAACTAGTCAGCTTATTGCCAACTTGCTAGTTTTGGACCAATAAAGCATCTCTGATTAATATTTTTTTCTTTGCCAGAATATAAAGCCTACTGAACCCTTTACTTAAAAATAATCAGCTTTAACTGTGGAGTGTACAGCTCTAAATGGAACATCTATACCATGCTCCGTTTCAACATAAGGTTAAGCTTTCATTGAAGAAGAGGGAGCTGAAAGATTCTAAGAGTCGTATTATTGAACATTCACAGAGAAACAATATCAGCTGGGTACCATGAGGGCATTGTACACATGAACTCACAGCAGCTGTGCCTTCATGCATATGACCAGCCAAAATCATGGCATGAAAGAGGAAGGGGCCATGAAGTTCCAGCCAAACTGAGAATCTCTTGGCAACTGATGGCTGCTGGGGAAGGGAGAGTCAGTTTTCTTTGGGGATGTTACATCAGAGAGGCTATAGAGGGTTTAAAAACTAAACACTTGAAGTTGGGAGGGAAAAGTGATGGAAATACAGGGGAAGAATTGAAGGGGAGGGGTTGGGGTGGACTTGATCAAAATGCATTGCAAGCATGTATTAAATTCTCCAACAATAAAAAGAATTTAAAATACTAATTTGCTGTAAATATATTTTATACAATATTTATGAATAATACAATAAATATGATTGTATAATTTATAAAGATTTTTCTGTATATTTTAACTCAGTATTTTAGACTTCTACTTGAGAAATTTTGTAATCCTCAATTTTAAGTAACTTATTAATATATAGAACTATTCTCCATAAAGTTTAAGAGAGGCCTCTGAAAAATGAGGTGATGTCTCTCATTCTAGGAACTGCGGAGCCAATTAAGGCCTGAATAATCACCTTTCCACTAATGTCTTCCTATATGTTGTTTTAGGTCTTTTACCCTTTAACCAGTGGGTTTGAAAGATGATATATGAAGCTCAAGAGTAGAAAATTTTCACATACATACATGCATGTAAATGCATCTTTAAAGCAATAAGGGCTTATGCTAGGACCTAGGCATATAGTTTAGTGTTGGTGTGTTTGTCGAGTATTTGTAAAACCTTGGGGTTCCATCCTTAGCACTATATCAAACCAACCAGCCAGACCTCCAGCCAACCAACTAAACTAAACTAACATATGTTAGTGAGTAAAATGACAAATTTCAAAATAAAAATTCTTGAAAAACATTTCAGATTTTAGGACTCTGAGTTTAGACATGGCCATTGAATGACTAATCTCATTGATTCTAATAGCTGAACGGGGCCTTAGATATCATTTAAGTAAACACTATTTTATAAATGAGAAGTTAAGGTTTATATAAGTTATTTGTCCATGACCACATAAATAATAACAGCCAGAGCTAGAACTTGTAATTTCATTACCACAATCATTCTTTATTATGTAAAGAAGTTCTGGGTAAATAGCACATAAAGCTGCTCTCTACTTTCACTGGAAAACAGCAAAAAGACAATTTTACTGAAAAGTGGGGAATTATATCATTTTAAAATTTTCTACTTGTAATTTTTGATGGTTGAATTAATTTCTACTGCCGCATACCAAATTACAAGATGTCTTGCATTAAATTTAACACTAAAGCAGTGGTTCTAAACCTTCCTAATACTGCAACTCTTTAGTACAGTTCCTCTTGTTGTGGTGATTTCCTCCAACCTAAAATCATTTTTGTTGCTAATTAATAACTGTATTTTTGAACTGTTGTAAATTTTAATATAAACATATAATATGCAAGATAGCTGACATGTGAATACAAATGGATTGTGACCCATAGGTTGAGAACCACTGCACTAGTAAGAAGAGAAAATACTTAGGAAATAAGGGGAAAATACTAGAAATCCCCGTGAGACTATCAATGAACCCTACACAGTAATTCAGAGAATCATTGCATAATACTGATTTTTAGATGATTCTAAACCTTCATGCATAAAAGTAGAAAAAGAACCTTTTTTGTAACTCATAATAGAAACTGATAAAAGTGAGCGTTTGCTGATGAGGTAGTATGTCTTAAATATCTTAATCTTAAATGAAATCTGCACTGACAAAGATATTGGGGTAGCAAATGACTACAAAGTCTCTGAACAAAAGGATCCATAAAAATACACACATATGTTTAAATCTACATATTATTTAGTGAAATGTGTACCTTAAATTGGTGTTCAAAATATGTAATTTAGAGTCATGAAATGAATAAATGCAATATAAAAATGCAAACTGTTTTGACAGAGAAGAAAATTGTAAAGTAGGATTAGAACATATTAATGAAGTTTTTAAAGTTGAAAGATAACTAATTTGGGAAAATTCTATTGAAATAAAAGTGAAACCATATTCCTGAAGAATATCTCTCACTTTAGAGAGCCCCTAAAGTACCTTCATCCTCATTCTTTCCAGTTGACAAAATAGAGGCACAAAATCACATTACTTGAGGACTGAGGTAATGAAGATCTAGGAGTGTAGTTATTGTTTTGGAACTGAATTGTAAAGAATTGATAGATAGGAGAAGAATAAAAACAGCCTCAAGAAAAGACAGCAGGCTGAAAAACTGGGAAAACGTTTAATATTTGTATTCAGACTCATGCCAGAAGAAAGTTCAAAGACTTCATTTGCTACTGAAGACTGTTTCCTGAACCAAATTATTTCTAATTGTTGTTGGGTGTGGCCAATTCAAAGTTAGATTTAAGTTAGACTCTCACATGATTGATGAAAGACTGTTAAACACTCATAATAACTCAATATTCTTTCTCCTTTCTTTTCCATGTCAATTCAATATATCATAATTTAAGTTTCATAGAACAGCTATCCTTTGACTCTTTTCCGTTGACTTACACAAATGGTCCCAGAAAGATTTCCACTCTGATGCTATTATTAGGTAACAAATGCTGAGAGGTACATGTTGAGAATGAACACTTCAGCTCCACAAATTCGGAACTGTCTGCCTATGGGTTATGTTACATATAATTCATTTAAATAGTTTGTGTAAATATCACTTGATAAATCTCCCACCTCTGTCTGAAGAAGAAATTCAGAAACCCTCTACAGAAATAATATTTTTCTGCCAAATAATCACTCCCATTCTCAAAGATACTACATTAATATTTTTTTTTTGTTTTACTGTGAAAATTCTTCTCACCCTCAAAAATACACCTTATATGCTTCATTAAATGCATTGTTCCTGAAAGTGATTCCCTATTGCATTAGCAAATTTACAGGGCTAATTTCAGCATATGTTTACTATCCAAGTTTCCTTAGGAATAAAAAGAAATAGGTATTGCAGTAGTGGGTAACCACTTTTAAAAAGAAATAAATATGTGAACATACAGGTCAGATACTATAAATGCTCCTTTTTCACTTACTTGATATAGTAGGGCACTTTGTTTGGTGAGATGGCTCTTTCCCAGGGACCCTGGACCGAAGCTACAAAAGGAAAAAAAAAAAGAAAGGCAAGAAGGTCAAATCCATGGCAAAGAGGAAAGACAATGTTATATCACCAGAATACCATTTTACACTGATACTGGTGTGTTTTCTCAGTTGCTCATGAAGACAGGATGGATTCACCTGCTGTTCTGAAATTTCTGTCTTCAACTAATGAAATCAAACTCATTCCAGCACAAAGATTAATGCAAAGGGCAAGAAGGATCTTTATACTCCTAACCCTTTGCTAGAAATGAGAAAATGAATGAAAAGACTGATGGCTTCCCTTATAATACTTCTTGTTGCTTTTCAATATTTTATTTTTTTATTGTCTGGGTTTTATTAGTTTACCTAATTAAGTGTTCCCCTGTGATATATTTACATTCTAAGTTATTGAAAGGAAGATAATATGAATATTAATATGGTATGCTTATTTTTGTATGATTAAAGAGGACCCAAATCCATTTACCAATTACATGCTTAATTGAGTACTTAAAATGTCAATTGTTCACCATATTATTAGAAGGGACAGCCAAAGGTGACAGAATGACACCTAATGATAGCAAAGGATAATAAAATTTTATGCACAGTCTGGTCACATATACGTGTACTGCCTGTATTTGTAATCCACTTAATGACCAATTATCTTTAAACTGTTCTATTTTTAAAGTGTAAGGTGAAGCCTCATTCTTTATGCCATACTGACCTTGAACATATGATTCCCATTCATCAGATTCCTGAATTGCTGGAGTTACAGGTGTGTGCTATCATTACCAGCTTTTCAACTTTTTTTAAAAAAATACCCAAGTTGTAGGTTTTCCCCTCATACTTTACTAAAGCTCATACACTAAAATGTCTTTTGTGTACTGCTTATGTCTGATTTTTTTTTCTTTACTGAAGACAAAATAATCCTGTTGAGAAGGCACTGTTACATCTCCTCAACAGTGCAAACTTCCTCCTGACTAAAAATTTAAGACATGTAAATATCAAGAAGCATACATCCTGAGTTCAATATTTAGTGCAGAAAAAACAAAATAGGATATGGAACACTACCTGAAAAAGAAATATAAAAGCAAATCTAGCAAGTCTGTGTGTCTCTGTATCTTCATCCCACTAATAATTGGAAGCACAGCTGATGCTATTATTTCCTTCACTGAAAATCTTCCTTCTACGTTAATCTCACAGTAAATTCACTTCACAGTGTATTGAGATGGAAGAAAACGTCAAAGCTAATATATCCTGAACTACACTGTATAATATGAAAGAATAGCTTCTAATAAAAGTTAACTTCCCCCATGCCAGACAATTTAAGAGTAATGAACCTCCAGCTTCTTTGTTTTATATAGAGTAATAGAGGGATTGTATTACCCAACCTTTAACCAGGCTTTGTCCCTTGGAGATGAGTCATTTAAATGATATAAGAAATGGATTTGTATTTAACAGGTAATTATGCTTTTATCCTTTTGCAGACAGAAATCCTTAATAGGGAGAAAAAAGATATTTAGCTGCTGCTTTGAAATATTCACTACTCTTCCTTTTCTCTCTGTCCTTTCATATTCTTTCTTTCCTCTTCACCTTGCCTTCCCTTCTTGCCTTTCCACACTGCCTTTGTCAGTCTCTGCAACTTTTGACCCCTTTTTCTTCTTCTCTGTGTTAGAGCTTTTTGACCACTATTACTTCACATTGTAAACAATATTTTCTTTAAAACCACAGGCTAGACTAACCAGCTTATCTGGACAAAGCTTATGTTACAAGATTCTACAAACCCACGCATGTTCTGATAGGATGCATAATGGAGAGACAGTCTACGTCTTGGCTGATTAGTGAATTCTCTTCTTGAAAATCATGCCATGTATATATAAGGAAGAACAGAGTTCCAGAGCATTTGGAGGCCTCGCCCTTGCTGATTGTAAAGGTATGAATGACTACACTGACAAAAGAAAGGCTATTCCTTCCATAAAGGTCTCCAAGGACCAAGACTTCATGGTTCTTTCATTGTTATTCCTAGTTATTTATTATTATGGATTAGGAATTTGTTCTGATTACAAAAAGGAGGTATATCCTCTTGTAACAGAAAAAACAATTTTTTTCTAGACTGTTCTTAGGTATCTCTTAGGGGAAAGTGTGCTGGGGGGGTGATTGTAGGCTTTGTAGCTTGGATAAATGACTTACTTCACCAAAAGAGGTAGAGTTGGGGGCCACCCTGGGCTACATAGCAAGACTTGCTATCAAAATCCAAAACAAAGCAGGAACTTTCAACTGTTCAATGTTCATGAAAATCAATGGTACTCAGCAGTGCTAATAGGCAGATCAACCTAAAATGTTTACGATTCACTTTGCATTGTCCAATATCAAGAAGCAAAAGTCCCATTTATGTGACAGAGGATTGCTTGCTAAATGTTTGGGAAAAAATATAAAGAAATAAAATTCCAAGTTCCAGTTAAATAAGAACTTCGAAATAGTTTTAAAAATCATATGTGCCTGGCATACACATTAGGTTACTGGCATACACATTCATGTACTCTGTGTATATTTGGTGCTTATGAATGCTGTGTGTAGGCACACCTTGCAACTGGAGTTACAGACAGTTGTGAGCTGACACATGGGTGCTGGGAATTGAACTTAGATCTGTGCATCTCTCTAGCTCCAATAAGCACTTTTTAAGGTTTCCTATTTACAGTTCTTCATTGTTAATCTTTTATCCTTAAAACTTAAAAAGCAAAGCAATGCAAAGCTCTTTTGTCTTTAAGTGTACCTATCAAATAAACCCAATTGTAAGGTGCAGTGCATTTTTCTCCCATAAAAGGATGTTTCCCTTATGACTCAGAAATTATAAATTCACCTATGCAACTACTTTTCAGTAATAGTTTGAAACCTGAAATTTCATCCTCAAAAATGGCTTTTATGCAATTAAAAATAAGGGGGAAAAGCCTCCTCCTATTCCTTCCCTGCTCCATCACAGGTAGATGCATTTCTGCCGGACTGCAGTGCTTGCTGTAGAAATAACACAGTTGAATGATGGTTCTATAGGACTGGATTTGGTACTCCTCCAAAAAGAATGTTAAAACGATGTTGGCAATTTCATTTAGAGCTACCAGATGACTCTGGCCTCACATATATTCAAATCTCAATCAAATATGGGGTAACTCTCATATGTGTACCCCAGAATTATCATTTCATTTCTCACAGTAGTGCTGATTCCAATAACAGCTATTTCTTATCTCAGCACAGCAGTGGAAGCATGTCATCCTTTGTAAAGCTGGCTGTAGTAATAGACACACACATATTTTTGTGCCTGATGTGTACATTTTTAGTAGCCCATCAGAAGCATATTTATTGGCAAATAGTTTTTATATGACACAAGGTATCTTTGGCATTTTCTTATACAGATGTTTCTATAACTACTATGTGTAATTCCAATTGAGGTTTTGTAATTTCCATTCTCTAGTGAAAAATCATTCATTATCATATAGCACAAGCACCATGGGATATTTGTATACTAATTTAAATAGTAAATTTATGTACTTCAATGCCAACTTGTGAATTTCACCCTGTGTTACTGGTGCAGTGTGTTATTAATAACAAGAAAAAATAGGCATTCTACTTTCAAATGTTTTCTTCCCTTGAGGTGTCCATGGTGGTTTGAAAATCACAAATATGAGCCACACTATTTAGAGGAAGTTCTGATTTTAACCATTTTTTGATGAATGATAAACAGAATGTGCCAAAGATACAACCTAGAGTTTAGTTTTAATTTAATTTACAGAGGGGCCTAACCAATGAATTAAAAATGCTAATGTTATAAACCATGCCATAAGGACAATCTTTGGAATTCCAAGTCAGTCATTAGCCTTGTGACTTTACTTGGAATTTGAGATAATACAGTTGGGTCAAAACAGAAACAAAGAAGAAAAAAGAAGTGAAACATAAAAATAGAGAGAGAAAATAGAAAACTCAACTTTTATGTAAAAATGCATTAGGGAGACAGGGATACAGTTCAGTGGCAGACACTTGTCTAGTATATGCAACATGTTGGGCTCACTGCCCAGTGCCACCAAAAAGAAATAAAAAAGAAAGAAGAAAATGGTAAAGAGGAAGACTTCAGGGCCAATCAGTGAATCAATGGTATTTGGATCTTCAGAAATATTCAAATCCATATTTTAAGCGCATATTTAACACCAATGAAATGAATAATGTTTATTAACCCTTTTTCCATTCTCTTCCCACAATGATACCTGGACTTTTGTTTTCTAATTACTCTAGAGTCCATTAAAATTTAACCTTTTATACCATAGACATGATATATGTGTATTTATGCATTACATGTATTTGTGATATGTTCTCATTCCTTAGCAATTAATTTTGTCATGGGGCAATGTGGTTCCATAGAGAATGGTTGATACAGAGGCAGTGGAGACATGTAGGAATATGTGATTATTCAAAATGTCTCATTTGCTTGATACAAGTCTTAAATGAGCTTATTAGATATTCAGCAAACTGTTGAGTAGGTATTGGTTTCATTTTCAGGGGATGAAACTATGAAGACCACATAAAATAACATATTTAAGGTTACTTTCCTAAAATAGTAAAATTTTGGAATGCTTTTCAAAATGAATTCAAACAGATGATTTATGAAGGATAAAGCTAACTCCCAGTATCTTTTCTCTACTCTCTGTACTGCATGCTATTTAATGTGCTCCTCCGTGTACAAAATGTGCCCATGAGTATAATAGTGACAGGAATGTTATAAGGACATCCAATCACTTTCTGATTAGATTTTAAGCCTGTTCCACCAGAGAAAACTTGTAACAGTTACTATAAATCTTGCCAAGTATCCATCTATGTTCGGTGTGTTAGTTTGAATGAGAATGACCTCCATATGTTTATGTGTTTGAATACTTGATTCACCAGTTGGTAGAACTGTTTGAGAAGGATTAGGAAATATGGCCTTGTTGGAGGAGGTGTGTCACTGGGGGGTGGTCCTTGAGATTTCAAAAGTCACA